TTGCATCTCAAGGCGTTCAGAAGTCTCTGCATTTTGTCACTGTCTTCACCTAGGAGAAAGGACCATATCATCTGCATATTCTAAGTCAATGAGATTATTCCCTGACGGTAGCAAGTCAGTCCCTGAGTCTCTGGAGCGAGTTAGGGTTAACTCCATTAGTACATTTATGATGAAATTGAATAGAAACGGGGATATTGGACACCACTAGTTGTCAACGCTTCAGATGATAACTCGCCTTAAGCTCTAAACCGGCTACTAATGCACATATATAGAAAAACGAAGGTATCATTAGATATGTAAATATGCATATATCAGTATTTAAAAACAAACACTCATTTGTTCATAGATACCACTGAGACATCACTAATCTATGTTCTGATAAATTCTTTTCTAATTAAGAATATATATTTAGACAAGGTTTTTTTTCAAATTCGGAAAAAATATCAGATGACATTAAAAATGATATATACGAATGATTGAGTAAGTCAGTATTCATGTCTGTATACATCAGTGACACGTTTACATAAGATGAGTAAGATAACTGCCTACCTCCTTACCTACCTACTTACCTAACTTTTGTATCTTATCAAACTTTAGACAGTCATCAGATTGTTTAAAATGTTAAGAATAAATGGTTTTTGTAGCCGCAGACATTGATTTTCTTACGACTGAAATATTATACTACACTAGTAGTATTGGTGTAGACTTATTATGCATATATATATATATATATACAGCGGAGAAGAAATAAGGTTTAGCACTACAAAACAAGGTGTCTGAAGGTGACAGGAAGCAGAATGTGTGTGTGTGTGAAGGAGACGAAAAACTACTCGTAGTTTTGGAGCCTAATGAAGAGGAGTGTAAAGAACAGGGAAACATGTGGAGATCTACTGTTCGTTGAAGCCCCTTATACCTCTCTGAATCTAAAGGGATACTAGTAATAATAATAACCGAAAAATATACTTAAAAAGAATCTGAAAATGGAGGAAACCTTCAGAAATCTTTATCGCCTGGTGTTAATACAGTGTGCAGTTGTATCAATAAAAATACTTCCAATCGGAGTAGCTCTATTACCAGGTAGTGAATCGATTCCAGTATTAGTGACTTTAGCTAAATGTAACTGTTGGTCTGTTTATTTAAAACAGTTAGCCCGTTTAATGAATTTAGATAGCATTATTACAAGATACAGTTTACCTAGAAAATGTGGTGTATTTGTGCAGTAAATTTCTTATCAAGTGTTGACTCTCAGGAATTTGATTGATTGTAGGATTGATGACAAGCTGACATCAGTTAGAGAACCTACAGAAGTCCGATCCCAGGACCTTTTGGTCACGAGGCGAGCTCGTAGAACATCCAACCTCTGGGACCCCACCCGATGGTGCATGAATTCCAACTTCTGCCAATTCGTGTACCAGTGGCTGAATGGTCTACGAGGCCGGCTTGCAACGGGAAGGTCCTGGGTCCGAACCTAAGAGGGGGGGTGCGTACTGCCGAATGAAGAGCCCCAGACTAGGACGAAACTGTTGTACAGTACTCCCAGATCTTCTAAAGGTTCTCTAACTGAAATTAGCTAGTCATTAATCATGCAACCAATACACTTCTAACGGTCTGATCACACATCCACTTGTCAAATCAATTTATATGGAAAATGAATGGCCAATTAAATAAAACAAAATGATATCGGGTTTAAGAATACGGGGGATAATTAACAATACTTTTGGTGATATAATCAAATAGGAATTACCAGGGTAGGCGTTCTTCTGAAGAAGCTATGGCTAGAACACAGCGAAACGTCCAGGAAAATTATGTTTTTGACCATCTGAAAGCAGTTTTCCTAAAGTAGTTTAAGGGTAGTAATAAGTTGTTTTTGCACACACGAGGACTAAGGGGTTTAATTTTACGGATACTTATCGTCTCAGCGTATTTCAGTAAGCCCTCCCACCTCCACTAACGATTTTTATAGATAATCTTGAAAGCTGAATTTTAGATTTTCCCATCGATTGATTTGACCGAAGTGCTCGGTCTCAGGTTGGCATGTCGGCCTCTTGTGCAGATGCTTCGACGATGTCTGGGCATGTAATTAGAATTTAATTGGTGGATGGTGACTAGCGGTGGAATCCAGGATGCGTTCGTCGCCGAATTGGTCTAGTAGATAACGCCTTGGCGTTTGAAGCTATGGGCACTGGGTTCGAGCCTTGGTGGGAACAACATCACTCACTGGGAAATGCATGTACATCCAGATGACGAGTCCCAAATAGGACGAAATGCGTATCCACCAATTAAATTCTAATCTTGAAAGCTGTTTTGCATATCAGTCTTATGATTCATATTCATTCAGTATTTAGCTATAGAGTAGTCTATCACTTCTGTTTGTTAGAGGGTTTCATAGTTGATATGTTTTTCAAGCCATTCGGGTATATGTTCTCCCACTCTCACGTGCAGACGGGAACACTACTCCCGAAGTATGTGTAACCGCAGATATATATAAATTGGTGCATAGTATGGGACGCAAAATAATCACCTGCTTGTAGTAGAGCTTGTTTTGGGATTGTGTTTCTTGATAATTATAAGTTTGGCTGCCTATTAACTTTGGTGAATGAAATCCAATCATTATTTACTGATTGTAAGGTAATTCGGCAAAGATATTTTTCTTTGGGATCGAACAGATTGTAGGCTTTGGAACTAGATGACTTCTATACCGGTTCTTTATTATTATTATTATGTTCGCATTACAACTGTTCTCAACTGCACAGATATACTGAATCCACTTGAATATGTTTATTTTCTACTGATTCAACAACATTCATAAGACAATATTGAACAATAATAACTCATTTCAGGAGGATTTAAAAGCTGACCTCCTTACACAGAAACTTTTATGTAGTGGGAATTTTATCTAACAGTTGGTTGTCATAAAAAGACTTATATCAGCACTTAATCGATTATCTTTCTGCTGGAAAATGGTGTTGACATACGGCACCAGGGTGTCATGTGTCTAATCTTACCTTTAAATCTGAATTACTGGTGATTAAATGGAATCTAACCTAACTTTTTATTCTCATGAATATCAATCAGAGTACAATTATTATTATTATTCTCATGGGTTTCTGATGGACCGTACGGCTTCAGCAGTACATCGTCGTCGCACTCGCTTCTCTGTAATTAATTTCATTTGGCTCCACATCTGTCCACAAACTATTATGTCCTCTGCATATGATCTTCTCTATGTCATTCTCGGATGCGTAGCTCGTCGCTCTCCATTCTGGTTCCATTTGAGGGCTCGGCATGTGATGTCATTCAACTGTCATCTTAGCGTATGTTCAATTTATCTCCATTTTTTACTCAGTTTTCTGCAGCGACAGGTTTTTCGTTGGGTATAATGAATAGCATGTTATTGGTGTATCGAATATTATGATCAACAGTGATCACTTCATGGAGTGTTTTCGCACCATTATAACTAAAAGATTAGAGATAAAGTGATCTTGTATATGTGCTTCTAATGCATATCTACAAAATCTGGTATTCTGGAGCTTCAGATTCTTACCCATTTGGCTGTGTTTAACCACTGGTGTCCAGGTAACAACGTGTTAGCAGTTCATTCTGTCCTCCTATAAGGCTGTGAGACACGGCATTGAGCGTGAAAGATTTTAAAAAGTATAGCTGTCTTTGACTACAGATATTTGCGTTCTACCTGTCGTACTAAGTGGTATAATATGGTAAGTAGTAGTGACGCAAGGCATCGAGCGTTAGGTAAGGAGGGTGAGTCAACCAATGAGACTGTGGAGCTCCACAGATTGAGATGATTAAAACAGGTGCTACGCATGCCTATCCCATTGCCATCCTCATTGAGCAATGTAGGCTGACACAGGATTAGTTTGGGAAAGAGTTAAGGGTGGTCAGACTGAAACCTGTCATCAATTCATAAAGTCCTTGACAGGTGGTTTTAACGAGCCTCATAGTGAGATGTCGACTGTCTGTACGGACTCCTCAGGATTCTGAGAATCAATGGCTTGAGATTGTTGGTGATATCGCTCGAAACGGTGATGCAGATGCATTCACTCTTTCCGCCGGCCTCCCATATCTATTAAACCTTATCCTTTCTCTTACATATTTCCGCTCCCTTTAGTTCATTTAAAAATAGTTTTCTCTACTGTTTTTTGTGCTACATTGAATGTAGCAAGTTAAACTGGTTGCAATTCTGTGCAAAGTTCTACTCTGAAACTCAGCCAATCACTCTGGTCATAACATGTAAACACTCTTGAGGCACGATGCAAATTATTATGCTATAAATCATTTCATACTGAAGCGCTGCCTTCATAGGCTTAGGTACTTGAAATGAATTTCATCTCATTGTATCCTTCACTACTGATAACACACCTACTCTTGTTCTGGTGGGATAATTGAGAATAAAGGGGAGTTATCGAGTGCCATCGAAAAATAAAGAATAACTGTACTGTTTTTTTTAAAAATGCACATTGTTACATTCTGGATTAATGGATAACTTTCTACGAATCATGAGAAATAGTGGCTTTGATTACTGTTGACTTGAAACGGTAGTCTTTGTTTGCGTCCGCTGTTTTTAGGACCACAATTTTTGTTATCTTATTATTTATTTTATTCCTCTACGTTTCCACTGGACAGTTAGGGACTTCAAGCTAGAACTCTGAAGTTTCAATAGCAATGGCTTTATTTTTTTACAGCATGGAGTTGCTAGCCTCATGCCCAACCTTCCCTCTCTACCAAAACTTACTGCCGGCTTGGTGAGGTTTAGAAGTACGTCGGCAGGCGATCGAACCCCGGACCACATGAGGCGTGCTTGGTAAGCGTTCTACCGTTGAACCACCAATGTACACTACAATTTTCGGCCATCTTTTTACTCTTCATCTCAGTGTTTTTCCCTTCATGTCTTGATAAAGATGTTTTGTTGCGTTGTTTTTTGATGCACCTTCAGACATTAAACCTTTTCCAATCACTAATTTTCATTTTGTTTTTCTCTATAGAGTGATTGTGGGCTTGACCGGTCGTACAGTTGCATCTACAGTCGATTCCACTTTAAACAATGATAATGAATGGTTATCACCAAACTTATTCTTTATAAATCCATATAGACCAAAAAGTGTAGATGAGTTGTATAACAGACCATACAATCCATTCTTAGCTGATTCGTATCAAGGCTCTGCAATAGTTGGATTTTTCTCTCTTGTTAATGTTATGTCACCGCATGATTTAGCTCTATCGCCTAAAAGTGATATTATCTATGTGTCAGAAATTAATCCAAATATAGTTCATCGATTCGAAGTAATAAATAAAATGGGTAAGTTGAAAATAAATTACTAAATGTTTTTAGTTTAATGTTCAAATTTTACTTATGTAGGGGTTTGCTAAAATTCAGGTTGAATCATAAAGTGATATCAGTTAGGGGACCATTGAAAATCAGGAAATACTGGACATCTTGGTTTTTTTTCCTTGTTTAGAACTATTAAGGCAGTACTCATTTATGATCCTACCGAGGATCGAACTGAAGACCTTCGTGTTATGAGGGAATGAATTCTAACTTCTTCAATCCCAGTGGGTCATGAGTAAGTACTTCTGAAGAGTCCCAAGCCAGGTCAAGACAGCTGGTCAGTACTCCCTGGATTCCGATAGTTCCCTGAATAATATCTGTCCATGACGAAAACTGAAGCAAAGCAAATCCCTACAAACTAACCACCGAAAAATGATATTAGTGTTATTGTTTCTGCCTTTTATTCATATATATTTGGCTCTATGTATGTAGTTGGTCTTTTTTATGCATAAGATCCTCTGGATCTGTTTTTTATTCCTTCACGTTCCCAGTGGAACATAGGACTTCAAGCTAGTGGCTTGAAGTTTCTGTAGCAGTGCTTATTTTACAGCATGGGGTTGCTAGCCTCATGCCCAACCTTTCCTCTTCACCAGCATTACTTCTGACTTAGCGAGGTAAAGGAGTGCGTCGGCCGGGTATCGAACCCCGGACTATGTGCATGGTCAGCGAGCGTCCTAACCGCTATGCCACCGACGCACAAAAGCCACATCCACGGCGGGATCTGTAGTCAGGTGATATATACTCTTTATACCGTCACCATGGTAGGAAACTACCCTGTGTATATATGAACATTCAGCTACAGTTAGAAGTGAACAAGTGATGCAACATTGACAATCAGCTAAATGACAGGACACTATTTCAGATTGTGATGTGCTTTAGTTTTGGTTTTAACTGTTGGTAGATAATGGACAGAAATCCTTGGAACTAATACTCATAGTCACTGATACTCAGAAGTAGGGTGTATCAGTAGCTCTGAGGATACTGATGTCAACCTCTGAGATTCGTCAGTGCTACACATGGTTCCGAGCTATTAACGTTTCCTGTATGTTCGGGTAATGAGTATCATTAGGTACAGAAGTAAGTGCTGACTGGTTTTCATTCTCCAACACCGACTAAATACTACGTCGACTTTGGATAGGATTCATATAGCTAGAATTATACTGTATGCATCAATGCACCATAGCTAAGTTACATTTATTCCTTTTCTGTTGCAGTAACAGTTTACTACATGGTTAAATATAGCTAATATTTAGATCTTATTCGGAACTCTTCAGCTGATTGCAAGGTTTCCCATTGATTGATAGTATTTTCAAAATGGCTGACACTCAAAACTACATTTTTAAAAGCCAGAGTTATCCGATAGCCTACTGGGTATAGGTACATTCAGCTGAGAAGTACCAAGTAGGCCAAAATGTCCTTTCTGGGATCCAGTGTTAGTTATCTCTTAACAAAATAGCACCGAACTAATCTAAGGGCATTATCAAAGTATTCGGAATTAGGGGAGCAAACATTTCAGTCCAGTAAAATCACCTACCGATAATTTCAAAAGTGATAATTCCATATGATTCGATAATATTTCAGGTTTGAGATCACCATGTGACTTTTATTTAGTGGACCATTGAAAACCAAGAAGTTCTGGATAGTTGTTTCGTTCTGGATTGGCACTGTTCAACAGTATACACATATCGAGCACCCCAACCCCCCGGGAGATTGTAATCTGAGAGTCCTGGGGGCAAAGTTAAACTTTAAGCACCACTTACTACCAATCAGCGAATGACCTCGAACGCATTGATGTGTATGGATTAAAAATATTTATGAAAAGATGCATAAAAGCTGTATAAAAGTGTTACAGAGGAAACCTTCCTCTCACGTGATAAAAATAGCTGTCATTTTTAGGTTCGGGTGTCAACAGAGTGTAATTCTATTGTGGGTAATATTCGCTTTGATAAAATCTCATAGTGTTATACATGAATATGTACTGAGCAATAAATTGTGGTCGAATAGTTTTCATCAGTAAATATTACTGTATAACACCGTGAGACTTTATCAAAATAAATTTTACCCACAATGGAATTATACCCTACAACAGTGCACAAGTTCTCTTCTTATGTCATCAGAAAAGTTTAACGACATTCTATGCATGCAATTATTTAAGTCTTCTAACCCTAACAATAACCCTAATCTTTCGTGAACCTAACCCTAACGGGAAAATATCCTTAAACTAACTATAATCTAACTCGAACCAACCCTAATGTCGCCTTTATTAAGTTACCTTAACCCCAACTTGTCCTTGGCTTAAACCGTAACTTAATCTTTCTCAAACCTAAGCTGTAACTTGCCAGATATCCCATTAAATAGCATAACACTTCGATGAGCATATTTTATTGATGATGACAACATTATTTGCCAGGTTTCACTAACTTGCTCAGTGAGTGTTTCAGGGTCATTGGTGCTGTCGTAGTCCATCGGCAGTTAGTGGTGCTTAAAGTTTAACTTCGCCTTCCTGGGTTCACTCCTCAGTTGGGTTATGGGTGTCTAGTGCTGATAAGCGCCAAACTAGCGAGGGGGGACAGCTATCCAGTGCACCCTGGTGTTGAATGGTTCTCTAACTGAAGTCACTTCCTGATTAGATGTAAAGTAAATCAAATCAAATACCTACAAACTAACCTTTGAAAATGATTTGATTTAGTTCTGAAGTATATGATAGTTTAAAAAAAAATTGGAAAGACCTGAGGTAATCACCACTAACACTCTTCGAGTAATTAATAAAATGAAGTGAAAAGCCTAGCAGGAAAAAAAGGAGGAATTTTAAGTATGACAATAAAAGGAGAAATGTTTTTACAGCGTAAATATAATATTTATTTTTGAGTAATTTTGAGCAGTTATTGATTTATTTTATTTTATTATCTTAAACTATTTATAGACACTCTGAAAGAAAAATTTATTTTAAGCAGATTGTTTCTCTTGGTTCTGTCAGTCATCCTCTTACTCTTGTTCTTCTTCTGGTATAATGAGTAGTTGAATGTATGTGAAAGGATGTGTTTATGTGTGCGTGTGTATGTGTGTGTGTGTGTGAGATAGGGAGTTTCCACGTATATTTAGATGAATGTGTAGTATGTCTGTTTGAGTCTTGTAAATCCTCATGACTATTTTGTACATACTGAGTTGATGTATATATGCATAAGTAGGTATGTAGACAGGTACACGTGTATTTTAGCAGAGATATAGAAGAGTATTATGTCCATTTCTCACATCAGAATGGAATTTACTTAGCAAAAATACACATCAATAATGATTCCATCTGTCAGATGGAAAATCTCGAATTATTTGGATAAAATTACTTTGTTATCAAGGTGTTGTGTGGTATGTAGCTGCAATGCTTTATTAATTTGTCATGTAAAAAGTGATTTGGTAGATGATGACTAGCAGTTTAATCCAGGATGCTCATTTCGTCCTATTTTTGGAACTCGTCATCTGGGTATGTCTGCATACCCCAGTGATTGATATTGCTCCCACTGAGTCTCTAACCCATTACTCATTATTTCAAACGCTATAGCGTATTTCATTAGATCACTTGGGCCACAGAAGCTATTATCCCTTATGCAGCAGGTGTCGGTTATTCTTTTTCCTTCACGTTCCCCAGTGGAACATAGGGCTTCAGGCTAGTGGCTTGAAGTTTCTGTAGCAATGCTTATTTTACAGGATGGGGTTGCTAGCCTCATGCCCAACCTTTCCTCTTCACCAGCATTATTTCTGGCTTAGCGAGGTTAAGGAGTGCGTTGGCCGGGGATCGAACCCCGGACCATGTGAATGGTCGGCGAGCGTCCTAACCGCTATGCCACCGACGCACAGGTGTCGGTTACTAATTATTCAATTTGGGTTTCCTTGTTCACTGATTGGGCCGAAGTATTTGGCCTCTGTGAATATGTCGGCTACTTGTGAGACATATTAACAAAGGCTGAATATTTCAATCCAGTCAGTGGACGGGAAAATCCAAAATGAATTAAATTAAAGGAAGGGGATTATGATCAAAAATTTTTTTTATGAATTCGTAGATTTATTTTAAAGGCCACTTAGCTATCAAACGTTTATTCATCAGTGGGTTAAACTATGTACTACTGATTAATTGAAATGAGTAGCTGTATACGACTCACATCGACCAGTAATGCTTGCTTGTCAAACTGAAGGGATCTGAACACCAAATGGCCATTTTGCAAAAATTTTTAATTTAATTTATAGTGTTACCAGTTTGCCTAAGTAGCTAGCCAGAAATAGGATGGTTTGAACTGGTTGGGCTTTCCAAGCTAAGTTTATGAACTTGGCCCTTTGCAGTGTCTAGCAAGCACTACTCGGTAATGTGGACGATATAAAACTACTGGTTTCAGCCAATCAGTAGTATATAGTTTCACGAATTTATGGTTGCATTCGTGATCATCCCTTATCGTATGAAGTAGATCACATACTGTGTTCTGAATAATTTTGGTTTACAAAGGAAACTACAGGGGAATAATCATATCGAACTGTGTATATTGTGAACTAATTTGCAAATGGCGAATACGAATTAATTCATCAATTTACGCGTACTATTCATTTAAATCAGTGTTACCAATGACAACGATACAATGTGTATGAGTGTGATAGTGATGAAAGAGAAGGTATTCATCGAAGAGTTACTCCTTTCAGAAGTACCATACACTGCATACATTGTCATGGCACCAACAGGAATGTTTCCAAAGATGTCTTTCATTAAAATTGTAAGTTTTAGACAACAGTTATGTAATACAGAAGGTATCAGTCAGGTAGAAACCAAAAGAAAACCAAATAGATAAACTGACTGACGTAACAAAAAATCAATAGGACTGAGTAATAGTGATAATAATAACATCTTTGTTCTGAACAATATTTATAAAATGTACAGAATTCTCCGAGGAGTTTATTGCATGATATTTTCCCTTTGGACAACATCTTCA